GGCATTATCGGACATGTTTTCCATTTCGGCCAAAGTAGAGGCAGGCAGGTGCGGAAAGTCCTTCTTATCTATTCACGTTTGCTGTTTATGTGCCGCCTTCCAATTCGTCAACACTCTTCTCCACGCATTTTTGAATGGGCGGAAAAATCCCACGTCTAAGGGTTAGGTAAGGTGCCGCAGAGTTTTTCAATGGAGTCAATCAATCTCTGACCCCTTCGAACAAATTAAAGTATAACCTCACAATTCACAACCCAAAATAACTAAATTTCGGAATATGACTTGCGGAAACATCAAGAAATAGCGCCATGCAATCACTGTGTTCGTTACTATATGACAATTTGACTTACCAATGAAAGTTCTAGAAGTTTGCGAAAACTGTTCAACAATTTGAATGGATTTTTTAGACAAAAAACAGGGGCCATGTTTCTACTAAACACACTTGGCGGTTTAACATTAAACGAACCGACGATTCGCGTGTCACATTTGAATTAATAAATATGCAACCTAGTGATCAATCTCACCCCCGGAGATCAATTTCACCCCAAACGACGGTAGTTATTTTTTTTATACAAGACGATAAAATGGTATTTTATCGTCGACCGAAAAGATTAATTCACGAGCGATGAAATTGCGAATGAATTAATTTCGGGAAACGATAATGCAATTTTATCGTCGTGTATAAAACAATATTTTTTCCATAGCGAGTTACGTTTTAAAAAATATTCAGAAATTATTATTTCAAGGAATTTATTACGAGTAGAAAAAATATTGTGCTGGGTTGGCGTTGGTTTCTATGTAATTTGACAAATAAATAAAGCTGTCTCTTCAGTTGTCAGTTTTGAGTCAATATTTTTTAATTCTCTTTCGTGTCGATTGCTGATTGAATTGGAGCCAGAAATGGCTCAAAACGAAATAAGTAAATTACCAACAGATATTCAGGCTGAGGCGACAAACGCCATATCCAAACTGCTTCCATTTAAATCCCGAATAACTTATGAACAAGAATACAAAAATTTTCAAAAATGGAAGCAATTAAAAAACGTGGGAGAAGAAATAAAGTTTTTAACCTATCCCCGCTGTTAAAGTATCATTTAATCTACCCTTGCGGTTAAAGTACTATTTTATCTACTACTTTTGATAGATATAAGGCAATTTTAACAGTTGCAATGAAAAAAAAGTTTTTGATAGACGTACAAAATAAGTGAAATTAAATTTAAAAATGCTTGTTTAAATTAACTCGACATTTCAAATCATTCTGTAGAATTGTTGATCCAGTAATTCATAATCTATACTAATATATAAAATCCTTAATTGACTGACATACTGATTAATCACGATCCTGCTCAAACCACTCAACGTAAGAAGCTCAATTTTGGCATACAGGTTGATTCTAGGGTGTAGAGGTTCGATAAGAAGGGATTTTTCGAAATTGCAGTTCCACGAGGGTAAAACAACCCCTCAAATATTATTTAAAAAACGGTCAAGTTTCCGAAAATACGCTTAAACACGTATATTTTATTTTGTTTTTTTACACATTTTAAGATTTTTTAAAAATGTATACAGGGTGTTTCGAAAAATCTGGTCACTGGTCAATGATGAATCAAGATCCTGCTTAAATCGCTTGACGTAAAAAGTTGATTTTTGGAAAAGAGATTGACTTTAGGGTGTAGAGGTTCTATAAGAAGGGATTTTTCAAAACTCGAATTCTAAGCGGGTGAAACTATCCCTCAAATATTAAAATATTTTTTATTTAAAAACCGGTGAGTTTTTCGGAAAAACTGTTAAACACGTATATTTTATTTTGTTGTTTTACATATTTTAAGATTTTTTATAAATTTATATAGGGTGTTTTATAAAATGTGACCATTGAGTAATCACGATTCTGCTTAAACTGCTTGACGTTTAAAGCTGATTTTTGGCAAACGGATTGAATGTGGGGTGTAGAGGTTCGATAAGGAGGGGTTTTTCGAATCTCAAATTCCAAGAGGGTGAAAACTCCCCTCAAATATTACAATATTTGTTATTTAAAAAACGGTTAATGTTTCGGGAAAACGCTTGGACAAGCATAATTTATTTGTTTTTTTTACATATTTTGAATTTTTTTAAAAAATCGTACAGGGTGTTCGAAAAAGTTGGGTAATTTCTTAACCACGATTCTGCTTAAACTGCTTGACGTAAAAAAAGCTTACTTTTGGCAAACGTGAAATTCCAACGAGATGATCTTACCCCTCAAATATTACCAAGTTATATGATAATATCGCCATATTGTTTTTTCTCATGCTGACATAAATGTGAGAAAATTTTATCCAGTTTGTATGTTAATGGAAATTCTTGCTTTGCTTTATCATCACCATTACAAATGATTAATTCGACGCGAACGAAGTCGCTGGTACACGCTAGTGTATTTATATTATTTATTACAAATAATTATACGAATTACTACGCTACATTAATTACTACTAAACTCAAATTGAAGCAACAATTTGTTGGTAAAATCTTAAAACGTCGAGCACCTATTATATTTTAAAACTGGAGCACAGCAAAGAACTCTCGAAAATTTCAAGGCTCTCAACTCCCAACTTTCATAATTTCTTAAAGTATGATTGACGTGTATTTAATAGAAAAAATCTTTAGTAGTACTTTTTTAGCCTTTTGTTTCAAATCCTTAAAAAAAATTTATTAACAATTTTATTATTCATACAAATAAGTTTATAAAATTTTATTAATCTAAATCGAGACAGTATTAATTTTATATCAGTGAACTGTCCATTTTATAATTTAGATAATCGATATATAATTACTAAAACCGAACCGGACGTGACAAATAACTAAGTTAAATTGGTTCGTATATAATTTGATGTAAATTCGAAAATGAAATGAATATTCTACCACGCGATATCATTTCAGAATTATCGAATTTATATAACATAAATATATTTATAATTTATAATTTATAAAATGTATTTATATTATATTTTTTATATTCATATTAAATGAAAAATACCATCTAAAGTATTGATTTTTTAAAGGAAAAAAAACATAAAAATACGTAAAATATCGAGGTGGTATGGTTTACTTCACAGCAGGGTTGGAAAAATAATTATTTTTTAAAAAAATTAAAAAAATCAGATTTATTTGATTTAAATCAGATTTTTTTGATTTTAATTCAAAACAATATTTTAATCGGATTTCCAAATGTCTAGGACTTATTTCCAATTAAAGTCCTATCCTAAATGGCTAAATCTTTATAACTCTCCCGATATCGATAACATTAACAATTCTACAGTGCGTTTGTCATTTTCCACATCGGTCACAAATATATTTCGCAAAAAAGTCGCTCGCTTCAGATCAAAAGGATTTTTTTCAAACGTCTCAAAAGTATTAATTTTTGTTATTTGAACGCCTAGGTATAAAAGTAAAGCACTGTTACGCCTAAGCACAAAAGTACAAAATATATTATTAAACTGATATTAGGTGTCAAATTCAACTAGTGTACAAATTGTTGCTCGATTACTGTTTATATTATTTGCAATGTTTGAAATTGATTAAAAAATTATTTGTAATGTTTTAAAAAAATAGTATGTTCTATTCGGAGTAAAAATGTACTTTTCGTGCGTCCTTGTGACGTCGGAACAGCTTTACGATGGTCCTTCAACGGTACAGCATCATCAAAAAAAGTATAATTTTTACTCCTAATAGAGAATGAAATTAGTATTATCTAATGTCAAAGTGTCAAATACTTACTGCAGATCAAAATGTCGGTAAGAATTTGGAAAAATACAACCGTTTCAAAAAAATATAAAACAACATATTTCCTGACAACGATTATAGATTCTCGGGAATGAAGATATAGTCTCTATATCAGAAGAACCTAGTTCTGCACTAGACTGCGAATGATATGTATTCGAACGGCGAATTTTTGTCACTTATACATACATTTTAAAATAAATCCCTGCGGTTAGCGGTCTAATGGATTCACACGAAATTACTTCAAAAATCGATCCAACATTTAAATTGATGAATATATATTTTTATATAGTTTTATAACATTTACAATTACTTTTCGATTTATTATCTGTTATATCTTTTATAGAAATATTTTTTATAGTTTTCTAGGACACATTTTTATAACTTTTACAGTTATTTTTTGATTTATAATAAAGTTTCAATAATTTTTTTTTTAATTTAAATCACATGATTAAAATTTCAAAAATCACTTGATTTAAATCGCGATTTAAATCATGATTTAATGAAATGATAATTGATGAAAATATACAGAGTGGTCTATTTAAATTAACCAAGTTATTGTTGTTAAAGCTATTAATTATTTAAAATAAATTTTTAGACGCTCTGTATATTGTAGTATAATTTTTATTATTGCAACACAAAAAAGTAAATAGAAAAAAAATCAGTAAAATATTTGGTTTGAAAAACGCCTAGAGAAATGAAGCATTAAAATTGTTACTGTATTTTCACAAAATCGTAAATATTTCGGTAAGATAAAAGTGAGGTAAACCTTAATTAAATTTACCTTTATACCACCCTGTATACACAGGGTGTCCCAGAAATAAGTGCAAGCATTTTAAGGGGTGACAGATCTCCACAAAAGAAACATATTTCCTCTTTATCGGTTTTTCAAATAATTCCAAAATAACGGAGTTATTTTACTTTGAAAATTTCCAAAAAAATGTTTTTTTTGCTAAAATTTTGAGAACCACTGGATCTTTTCTGGATTTTCTTTCTTGTAAATTTAATCTAATACCTATGTTGCCATATTATCAATAAATTATGTTTTTTAACTAAAAACTAAAAAAAATTCCAAAATTTTTTTCAAAAAATTTGGAATTTCTCATTTTTTTTTCGCGAAAAAAACCTCATAGGCATGTTTCTGGGGTTGAACTATATTACCAGTTAAAATACTTGCACTTATTTCTGGGACACCCTGTACAACCCCGACAAAATTTTGTTTATAATAATAATTATATTGCCTTCATTACTAGAAATGAGAGATCCATTATCGACTATATCCTAATCAGTAGACATCATAGAAACGACGATGTAAGAGTAAGAAGAGAGGTCGAGATAAACAGCGATCATTATTTAACTGCAGCAGAAACCCGAATAGGTAATGTCAGGGAAGACCAATCGGATCCCAATCAAAGTAAAAGAATTACTCTTAAGAAACTTAATAAAAACCGAATTAGGGTACATCGGCTGAATGATACGGATATAGCAAGAAAATACCAATTCATGATTAAACAAAGATTATGCAATGTAAAAACAGACCAAATGAGAGTAGAAGATTTGTGGACTCTTTTTAAAACATCAATTTTGATAACAGCCGAAGAAGTATGTGGAATAAGTAGAGATAATAAAACTAGAAAGCAGACGGCATGGTGGAGTAAGAATTTAAAAGAGCAAGTTAAGTGCAAGAAACAACGTTGGAAAGAGTATTTACAGGACAGCACGGAACAATCTTATAATCTCTATAAAGAACAGAGAAATAAAGTTAAGCTATTGATCAAGGAAGCAAAAAACAAATCGTGGGAAGAGTTTGGGAACAAAATGCTAAACGACTATCACGCTAACCAGAAATTGTTCTACCGTGTTCTTAAAAACCTCAAAACTGGCAATCAACAAAGTTCAGTTAAACAAATAGGCGACTCGAATGGAAATTTAGTCACCAACGAACAAGAAATAATAAAATGCTGGAAAGAATACTTCCAGAAGTTATTATGCACAGATGATGTTATTACTAACTCGCAAGAAACTGAATTAGCAAGTAATATTAACACAACGGCGTATAGAAAAATTGACGAAACGGTCGAAGCAATAAAAATGTTGAAGAAGGGGAAAGCTGCGGGTCATGACAATATAACAGGAGAAATGTTGAAGAATTTAGGAGAAAGTGCTGTCACTGTTTTCACTGATTTGCTCAATAAAATCATAAATGAAGAGGAGGTACCCCGAGACTGGGAATTGGGAATTATTTTGCCTATATTCAAGAAAGGTGATAAAACAACATGTGTGTATAGAGGCATCACTTTGCTTAGCATACCATCGAAGGTGTTTGAAAGAATTCTGGAACAACGATTAAAGGGGGACACAGATGAACTACTCGATCAAGCACAGAGTGATTTCAGAAAGGGAAGAAGTGTGCAGGACCATATATTCACGCTCAAACAAATGGCAGAAAGAATAAAAGTAACGGGGAAAAATATATATGTAGCATTCCTAGATATCGAAAAAGCTTTCGTTAGGGTTCCTAGACAAGTCGTGTGCGATAGCCTAAAGAAAAGGAGTGTCCATTCAAAGCTGAAGAGTGACATAGTGTGTTTATACAAAAACACAAGGAACTATGTGAGTCTCAGCCCGGCTCTGTTTAATTTAGTTATGGATGACATAACTAAATTAACATAATAAAGGATACAAGTGCAGCTGTTACAAGAGTATACGCCGGTTATAGAAATCTACAACCAATTTGGATAAAAGAATGCGCATTTGCAGACGACTTGGCAATTTTAGCTAACAGCGAAAAAGAACTGAAAAGAAATTTAGAAATCTGGCTGGAGAGAGAAATCTAAAAGTCAATGAGATTAAAACAAAAGTTATGATTTTAGGTAAAACAGAAGTCAATATTCATATTGACTTCTGTTTTACTTAAAATCATAACTTTTGTTTTAATCATAATAATAGAGATAAATGACATCAATTTGGAACAAGTCGATTCATACAAATATTTGGGAGTGAACATCAGTAGCATAGGAGAACAAGAGACGGAAATCATCGAAAGAATTAGCAACATGTTCCGCTTGTATCAAGCCATTAAGAACAGTTTCTTAAATAAAAAAGAAAGCTCGAGAGCAGTGAAGATGAGTGTATACAAGACAGTATTCATACCGACGTTGATTTTTGGCTGTGAAAGTTGGGTATTAACTAAAAGATTGAAGAGTAAGATCCAAAGAATGGAGATGTTATATCTACGAAGAGTACTTGGGGTAACAAGGAAAGACAGACTAAGGAACAGCTTTATAAGAGAAGAACTGAAAGTAGATTCGATCCTGAATAAAATTGAGCAAGGTCAGCTTAGGTGGTATGGACATTTGATCAGAATGAACAACGATATACCAGCAAAAGGCGTGTGGGAAGCTAAAACGCAGGGAAAGAGACCAAGGGGAAGACCAACTAAAACATGGAATGACACAATAGAGAAGATAGTGCATGATAGAGGACTAACATTAACAGAAGCCAAAAGTTTACCAAGAGACAAAAATAAATGGAAACAATTTGTGTATAGTGTAGCAATTAAGGGAATTTATTTAATTTAGTATACCTTACACCTTCGGGTAGAAAGGTTTTTGATTATATATATATATATATATATATATATATATATATATATACAGGGTTGTTCACCACATACGACACGGAGTATTGTAGCTAAACGATGAGATTTTTACAAATTGTAAGTTTGGGGTTCGTTGAAGGACTATTAGAGCTACAATTTAAAAATATTTTTACAAGATACAGAGTGTCCCAAATAAATAAAAAATATCAAAGTTGTATTTTTTTTTAAATGGAACACCCTGTATATTATTACATTTTTAGTTTCTACGATTAAAATAAAGGTAAATTTGATTAAGGTTTATTATACTTAAACCTTACCGTTTTGAAATATTTTCAATTTTGTGAAATTGCAGTAAAAATTTTAAAGCTTCATTTCTCCAAGGGTATCAATGTTTTTAATACTAAATATTTAATGAAGTTTATTTATTGATCAGTTATTGTGTTGCAATAATAAAAATAATACTACCTTATACAGAGTGTCTAAAAATTTATTTTAAATAATTATTAGCTTCAAACGGCAATAACTTCTTTAATTTAAATGGAATGCCCTGTATATTTTAGGAGAATCAGATGCACAATTAAATTGTCTATCAAATTGTATTATACCATTTTTACCTATCCCTTCAAGTTTTCGTAGAAAATGCATTTTCTTATAATTTAGACCTCATTTATCAATATATCCATGGAATATTGACATTTTAGATTGTTTTTAAAGCAACAAATGTACAAAATGTACAGACTAGTAATATTATCGTTTTTAGCAAAACGATAATATTACTAGCCCATTTGTATGCAAAAAGAAAACTATTTAAATCTTTATAAAAGAGTATACCATTAATTAAATATAACACCATTATTTCCGCCCATATACTAATTAATGACATACTTAATTGTGTTCGTTAATAAACTTTTATAAATAAATGTGGATTTTTGAGTCAGAAATCAATATAATAATAAGTTATTAAATTAAAGTCTTTGTTGTTATAAATAAGCATTTATTAAAAAATGAAACATCATTTTTAAGGTGTAACTTTTTATCACACTGTCTAATGCCCATATAAAATTCAGTTTTTTAGTATTTGGAGCAATTATTATTAATCAACGCAAACAGTTCAGTTAATGTAGTTTGAATACTGGAATCATATTAATTGGTCCTCTTTAACAAATATTTAAACAGTTTTTTTTTATTTTTTAATGAAATAAACGAATTATATCGACAATATTAGTATCTGTACTCTTTAAAAATTTGGTACATCTTTAAAAATAATCTAAAATGTCAATAGTCCATGGGTATATTGATAAATAAGTTCTAAATTACAAGAAAATGCATTTTCTACGGAAACTTAAAGAGATAGGGTATAATATAATTTGGACAATTAAATTGTGCATCTGATTCTCGTAAAATATACAGGGTGTTCCATTTAAATTAAACAAGTATTGCCGTTTGAAACTAATAATTATTTAAAATAAATTTTTAGACACTCTGTATAAGGTAGTATTATTTTTATTATTGCAACCCAATAACTGATCAGTAAATAAACTTCAGTAAATATATAGTATTAAAACTTTGATACCCTTGGAGAAATGAAGCCTTTAAATTTTTACTGCAATTTCACAAAATTGAAAATATTTCAAAACGGTAAGGTTTAAGTATAATAAATCTTAATCAAATTTACCTTTATTTTAATCGTAGAAACTAAAAATGTAATAATATACAGGGTGTTATATTTAAAAAAATACAACTTTGATATTTTTTTACTTATTTGGGACACTCTGTATCTTGTAAAATTATTTTTAAATTGTACCTCTAATAGTCCTTTTCATCGAACCCAAAACTTACAATTTGTAAAAAATCTCATCGTTTAGCTACACAATACTCCGTGTCGTATGTGGTGAACAACTGTGTATATATATATATATATATATATATTAAATTGTACCTCTAATAGTCCTTCATCGAACCCAAAACTTACAATTTGTAAAAATCTCATCGTTTAGCTACAATACTCCGTGTCGTATGTGGTGAACAACCCTGTATATATATATATATATATATATATATATATATATATATATATATATATATATATATATTGCCTTCAAGCGACAAGACACACACCCACCCTGTTAAATACCCAGCTTGTGCAACATAAACTGCATGATAAATGATTAAACTCAAATCGATGTTTGAACAGAACACACCGCACGTTTTAACCGACAAATGGCCAAACACATACAAAGATAAATGGTTTTTGTCTAGGCGCCCCTATGTCGTTAATTTCTGGCTTCGATTAATTCAACTGTAACTGTCACACAGATACCGCAATAAACGCAAGCAGATGTAACTAACTGTTTCTAGTTATCTATTGCCAGAAATTGGTGTTGCATTTGAATTCTCAAATATAACATTTTCAAAAAAAACTGCTTAAATTTTTAATAACAGTTGTAGTTTTACTTCATTATAATCTTCGTTTTATATGACTTCTTTTTCTAGAGCCTTGATGATGTCCAACGATTATCTCAAAAGACAGTTAGTATAGATTTTCTACATCAAATTTAACAAACTTCTCTGAAGGACATAATACTGTGTTCCTGACTATAATATCTAGGTACAAAATGTTTTGAATTCTTAACATACGAAGATAGTTGATCACTGTGTTCAAGATTTATTGTTTAGGATCCCAGGGAACACTAGTGAATAAATTGATAACTCTTTTAACCGCTCCATTAGCTCTAGTTTCCGGATGCTGCAGGCTTTCAAATCTTATCAGTAAACACAGGGTGTCACAAAAAAATAGTGTATCTAACTTTGGTAGGTGATTCTACAGATAAAAATAAAACAAAAAGTTCCTATAAACATATAGCCTAAAATGCTTCCCAAAGAGGTTACAGACCTTGAAAGGTTAAATAAAAATAATATTTTATATTTTAGGCCAGTCGGCAAGCGCATCGATAGCGGTAGCAAATCCGGACAAGCAGGAATAAGTTTTATTTTGTTTAGTTTGGTGTCGAGAAGCACGTATTAAATTTGCACTCCCCGTAAAGCCAGGATTTGGCCGCCATCTTGGAAAAACTGGCTAAAATTCGGTTTATTTTTCATTATTTGTCAATAACTCGATTTCTATCAACTTTAGCGCAAAATATGTAGAGACCAAAGCAAAGAAGAGAAAAAACTTTATAAAAAACGTTGTATGGGTTTTTTGTGCGACTATCCAAAGTATCGAATTTTACGAAAACAAAATTAAAGTTTGATATAATGTACGTGTTCAATATATCCGGGGTTAACTGTACTTGTTTCCACACCACCTTGAGGGGCACCCCCGAGACATAAAGCCTAAAAACTTGTTTGCTACTGGCTGGCAGTAGCCTGCTGTCGCGGTCATAATGGCAGAACGCAATTTGCATTATGACCGCAATAACGGACTTTTTATTGTTGCGCGACTGGTGGAAAATCAAGTTTAACCGCCTTATCTCTCAGGGAGCTGCCTTGAGGTAAAGTACCCGGCGCGATTTTTTTTTGAATGGTCTCCCCATTTCCAATAGGCCTAATCCACATGTCGTCAACTTAGGTTTCTTTTGAGGTGGAAGGTTCATCAGAGTTCCTTGGTTTTTTTGATGTTACTGGCTGTTCAATATAATCTTCCTGAATGTCTTCCACATCTGTATCATATTCCGGATCTGGTTCATAAGGTGCAGAATATACTTTTCGTTGATCTTTATCGAGAGGAAAATTGTCCTCGTACTCATCTTCGTCTAATTTTGCCACCTCCAAACTATTCGTACATGATTTGCCCTGACAAAGCGCAAACATTACCGAGCAACGCAAACCTGCTTTGCGGCAACTACAAGATGTATTACAACCTTTGGCACATTTACATGAAATCAGATTTAATAATTCTTGGGGAGCTGCATCTTGGGAAGTAGCAATGGGCATCAACCCATTTTTTGAATTTTTCCATCCCCAATCCAGAGGTGATTTTTCATTCATTTTGGTCGGTGGTAATGATGCTAGGTTTGGTAAGCTTTTGGTTATAGATTTTACGAAACACACGTATCTGTACTTATCTAATGAGTCGCTTTTTTTGGATCCATATAGATGAAGAAGAAATCGTTCTCCAGCTTTTTCTATATCTTCTGGGGATGCGTTTGGGTTTTTGAAAGTTTGTGCAGCTGTCTGTAATAATTCTTTTTCTTTCTGTAAAACTTTAACGAATTTCGTTTTTCCTTGTCTGTATAATGCGGATGTGGTGTCGCAGCCACTAAATGAGTGGAAAAATGAAATGTTGTCCATAACTGAAGCATTTAGATTCATATTATGGGGTGCATACGTTCTACTTTGCGACTTCCCCTTGCCTGGCTTTTAAAATAATATTAAATTAAAATTAATATTAGTAAATTATTAAAATAAATATTTAATTTAAGGCAGTAAGAATAACAAGTAAATCGGTGTCTTCGCCGACTATAATTACCGTTTCATTGTGATTTGATTCTTCAATTGAAGTGTTGACAATTAATGTGTCAGCATCTTCATCAGCCTGCTTGACTCGGAAGCCCTCGTTCGTCAAACGATTACATATATCATTGATATTATTCGACATTTTTTTTTCCTCTCATTTGACAAGAATTTTCCCTGAGACACTGTTTCCGTCATTTTTTCATCAAAATAAATGTCCGGTGGTAAAGCAATTTTAATAATAGAGGTAATAATAACTGCTTATAATATATTTAGCGTGTTTAAACCGAGATAACTTGGAAACGGATCGTCGCGCGTGGCACGGAAAAAGTACATAGAACGTTTTTTATAAAGTTTTTCCTCGTCTTTAATTTTGGTCTGTACATTTTTTGCACTAAAGTTGAGAGAAATCGAGTTATTGACAAATAATGAAAAATAAACCGAATTTTAGCCACTTTTTCCAAGATGGCGGCCAAATCCGGGCTTTGGGGGTGGTGCAAATTTAACACGTGGTTCCTTACACTAAAC